TTTATTTATTCTTGTGCAACCCTGGCTTGACTTCGACCCCAAATTATTCTTCTAACAACTGTCTCTCTCTCTCTAGTTTGCTGTTTCTTTTCCCAAACCCTCAGTGGTTGCACTCTTCACTCATTATCTTCCCATTTGTGAAAAGCACTTAGTTCAGTGTGGTTGAACCCACACCCTAAATAATAAATGAGAATAAAGCAGATAGAAAGTGGTGGGCAAATATAAAACAAGTTTTATTTTAAAATTTAACAGAAGGTACAGAAGACTCAGAATAAAGCATGGTTGACAAAGCATTACAAAATACATTATTAGGATGGGGGAAATCACTTTGAATAGCCTGGGAAAATAACTTATTAACCAAGAAAAATCATATTTTTTCTACATCCAAATCTACAGTTCTTTTAGACCACTCTGAATTATTATCTATCTCTACATCCTCAAACATTGTTCATTATTTGCAAAAGTATCTCAAAGTACGATAATTTAAATTCAATTTTATCTGAACCATCCAACTTATATTGAGTTTTGGATTGTCCACAATTAATCCTAATAAGTCACAAATGAAATAATTTTCCATGACAATAACATGGTAGCATTTACTTCATAGATAAACAGTGCTGGAAATATTTATCGTGGACTAGTACTCCTGTTGGGTGGGGTATACATGAGAAATCTCATTCCTTTTATTCAATGCTCTTTTCTACATTCATTCTTTCCATTGTGAGATGAAGAAAGACTTCAAACTCTTTCAAAATACAAGTGCTAACACAATTTAAAATATTGCTTTCTAGTATAGCCATTTAAAACCAATCCCTTTTTTACCCTCCATTGTCGTTTGTGCCCTCAAAGACTGTTCATAGAGGGGTTTTTTTTTGGGGGGGGGACAGTTTTGAATAATAGTCATTGTTGTACGAATCTACAAAGGATCGATAATTTGCCCAAGCAAAAGTAAGATTATTTTACCCAGTTTTTGAAGATTTCCTTCAGGAACCAAAAAGGGGGTAAACAGAGAGAAATTGCTGTTGCTACTGCAGTACCCCACTATCCACACAGGAACTAATGCATTTTGTTCTCCCTTCCCTCAGGATTCCAAACATGAATCTTTCTGATAACCTTCTCTCTTCCACCAAGAACTTGCATGTTTTGTAAGTATGCACTTTGTGTGTATGTTATCTTCACAGAAGTTAAAGTACTTTAAGTTCAGTGAGGCTTATCCCTCAATTGGTGGATATAGCATTCTTCTATTGTAGTCTCTGCCATTACTCAGAGCTCAGTCAAATATCCATGTTAACATGCTATCCTCCAGTCTGAGTCAGCAGAAAAACATGCTAGCACAAATCACAATGCCCCCTACTGCTGCACCTTATTCTATCTCAGGAACTACATCTGGCAGGTAGTATTCTTCTTAGTTTTAATGTGGGATATATTAAGAAAAACAATTGGGGAATTATCCTGGCTTAGTTTTTCCTCCCACTTAGCATCACTGGCAACAGGAGAGCACCCACTACTCAGTCATCATCACTTGCAAAGTTGGGCGAGTGTAGTTGGTGCCTGGGATGGAGGGGTTAGCCATCTTTCAGAGGTTCTCTGTGCCACTTATTTAGGTGATGTGGTGTCATCAGTTTAGCACCAGTCTTTTAAAACAGAACTAGATACCCTGATCAGAGTTATGGATGAGGGGTTATAAAGTTATTTATTTATTTATTTATGAGACTTATATACCGCTTTAAGTGCAAGCACTCTCTAAGCGGTGTACACCAGTAAGCAATGTATATATATATTTACATTGCCCCCAACAATCTGGGTCCTCATTTTACCTACCCCGGAAGGATGGAAGGCTGAGTCAACCTTGAGCCGGTGAGATTTGAACCGCTGACCTGCTGAACATAGTCAGCTAAAGTGGCCTGCAGTACTGCACTCTAACTGCTGCGCCACCTCGGCTCAAGATATAAAGATTTTGGGGAGTACTCCCTCTTTGTCCACCTGATGCCCTTGTTTTTTCCCTGTGACTTATTGTTCTATTGAAGAGGTATGAAGGTAAATGATAATGCTTGTGCTACAAGGAAGTAACAAGATGGGCACCCAGTGGCTATGGCTGGCAACATCGATAGCGATAGCTCTAAAAGAGACAAAATGGTACTTTCCTGCCACATGCGGTAAAAGAAGTACTTCAGGCAAAACATTGGGTCAGGCAGAAACAGTTAAAAATCTGAAATGTACCCATTGGTTGTAGAACTAGCAACACGTGGCATCCAGAACTCAGCTTTCTTTCCCAGTTTGAGTTTTCATGCAGTAGAGAACTAGCTTCTTTCAAGAGAGGAAGACTCTTGTTTTGAATTTTTGAGTCTAGTAGTGCAAAACTATTAAACCCGGTAGTTTTTTTTTAAAAAAAGGTTCTAATATTGTGTCTTAATATATAGTCATACGGTCCATGTGTAAGAACTGGCAAGTGCTTTGGAAAGCATTAGTGGCTGCCTGTCTCCACAGATGTCCATTGGCCATGGATGGATGTGCTTAGTGACCTGAAACAGGGGGGTATGGCCAAAGAAGCTAGATCATGTTCATGGGAAAAATATGTTGGGAGAAGAAAAGCATTTTATTCTGGAATAGCTGATGATGACAACGTTGCCTCAGCTGTGGGCTACAGAAGATTTTTTTTTTTAAGACTGTATCATGAGGGACAATCATTTAAAACCAGTTTTCAAGGCATGTCTGTACCTCTGTTAGGGAAACAGACGGATGAGCCCTTATTTCAGTTATATGCTATTAGAGATATATAGCAAGGAGTTATATGAATATTAAATTGAGAAAGTTTATCACTATTTCTGGGCCTTAAAATGGATGTTGGTATTTTATTTTATTTTTTCTCCTAATAATCTTGCACATAAAACAGTAAAAAAAAGGATTAAGTTTTATTTCAATAAGAGAATCTACTTGTATGCTGCTATTAAAGAAGTCTACAGTACAGGTAATCTTTATGGACAATTGCTGAATCAAAGGAAACAGACTCAAAACTTTGGGACTTTATGCGATTTACTTAGATATTTCAACCTTCAAATCTAATACAAATAAATTGGTACAAATTTTAAACATAGTTTTTCATATATATATTAATTCATTTTTCTCCTAAATGGATACAGTTATCCCACAACAACTCTCAGAAAAACAGAAATAACGAGTTGGCTGTATTCATCCTATGGTTGTTTGAAAAACACCTGGCTAGAAAGTAGCCAACAAATATTTTAAACTAGGATACTGTGTAAAACAAAGCTGTGTGGTTATTTTTCAATGTGTGATACAAATGCAGAAAAGTGTGCCAATTAAATAAATCATGATCAGTTAAGCATGGATAAATATGTTGTGTAAACACAGCCAATGTTTTTCACGGCATAGTCTGTGGGAATCTAAATCTGAGTCTCTCATTTCTTATGCAATAGCTCATATGCATCATCAAAGGTCTCTAATATAACACTGTCATAAAATAACAGATTTTTAAAGACATTATTTCAACAAATATTTGCGGGGAGGGCTACCTTCTTAATTCTTTCTGTATTTTTGGAGCCACAGTCCCAGAAAGACCTGGTTATAGATAATTGGAAATAAGCACATATTGGTTAGAGCAAAGGTCCCCAACCTTTGGGACCCGTTCCATGGAGAGAGGTTTTTCCATGGACTAGAGGGTGCATGGTTTTGTGTGCTGCCTGCATCTCACGGATGGGGCTTTGCTTGTTTGTGTGGACCGGTTGCTGGCATGCCGCAGCCTGGTACTGGTCCACAGACTGGGGGTTGGGGACCCTGGGTTAGAGAACTACTTATAAAACAGAACGGCAGAGAGCAATTTCAACAGATTATTTTCTAAGTGGTGTTTTGTGGCCACATCCACCATGCCAACCATGTTTTTAAACAGACAAGCTTAAGGGATACAGTACTGTGCACTTTTTCTGTAATGGCCATCTCTGGAGGGAGATGGGCAGTTCAAAAATGTGAAAATAATCAGAATCTGATGCAAACTAATAGTTGGAAAGAGAAGGAAAAGAAGAAGTAAGAAACCCTATGAAATTGCTCTCTCACCTGGACTTCTTCAGTAAAGTATCAACTATAGGTCTTACATTAGTATTTAAGCTCTTTAAAACATTCTTAATCTTTTTGTTCAATGGAGCTCTTTTAAAAATGTATTTTAATGCATAAGCACACAGATATAGATTGTATTTCAAGGTCTCAACTAACACAATAGGTTTTTAACACTTTACAAATACACAGTTGTAATCTATCTCACATATAAATTTGCACAATCTTTCTCTTTTTTCCTCCCCTCTTTCAACTCATTGTAATTTTAATCCCACATTAGTCTACTCTAGCCACTTAGACACATAGATGAAGTAACAACTCACAAAAGGATGTTTTCCAATGTTTCAGAAAAGGTGCTATCAACTCCTGATTTTTCACAATGCTCTTCTACAAAGGAAACCAATAATGCTCAAATATACCCATCAAAGTGTTAAAAATTAATATAGTAATATATGCACTTCTTTATTCTATTAAACAATGCAAGCTAAATGTCAGAAATTAGTAAAATCTTACTCCTGAACCCTAGGGGTTATAATCCCCAAATTAAGAATCCCTAAAGATTTTATCTCGCCACAGTTCTAAGGTATATATAATTCTGTAATGCTTTCTCACCCGTTATCTTGGAAATGGCGACTAGATGACCTTTTATAGATGTGACCACTAATCTCGTTGGGGTAATGTATGTTGGAAGGCACACATAAGTCTTCTATCTGGTTGCTCGGTTGCCATTACTCTCGCCGCGTTTGTCCTCTCCATTACTACTTTGTCTGCTGAATTACTTTCATACACTTCACCCCCTGCTCCCTGTTTTTCACACCAACCTCTGGGAAAATTTCCACCAGATACGCCAAGGAAGGATTTAAGTATGCAAGTAATGTAACACTACTGACAAAAATAAATAGATTACAATATATGGAATGCCGCTGAGTGCTATGTAGAAATTAAATAGCCTTTTATTTTCCGCAGGTTTTGTAGATACATAGCATTCCAAGGGGGGGGAAACACAGTCTATATCAATTTCTTTCCCTAATTGCACATGCTTTAATGCAGAGCAATAATCAAACTACAATTCCCACAGTTCCCCGGGAAGATTCGGTGATGACGTTACTCAGCGACAGTCCAGGCGAGCGTTCGAGCTTGTTTTCTTTGCAATGCGCATGCGCTCCTACAGGAAACCTTCGGAGTTCAGAATGATGCGGGGGGAGGTAGGTTGCGACTGAGCGGAACTCCGCGGTGCCTCCTTTCCTCCCGCTCTTCCCAGTTGCTACTAAACATGTCGTCTCGGAGAAATCGCCCCGCCTCAGGTCAGTGAGAGCCCTATTTCTCTCAGGGCTGTCATGGCGCTATTCCTGCCTTCTCCGAATGGAGCTTTGCCAACATTTCGGGAAGAGATTATAATCGCTAGTCGAGGAAATCGTGAGCCCGTTCGGCCAGAAGTTGCCCTCTTCCCCCAGGCCTCCTCTGACCCTGGCTCTGCGCAGGAAGAGGCTCTCCTCCCTCCGACCGCACCGAGGGCTGCGCGAGAGCTGAGTGGCTGCGCGTGCGGGGCGGAGCTTCACGAAGCCCTTTTCTCGGACTCTCGGCTGGGAAACGTGAAGGGCAGGCGGGGCCCCCGGAGCGGCAGTCTCTGGCGCAGGGCTGTTCCGCCGGGGGACTCTGCCGTTCGCGTTTAACCAGGCAGAAGCCTTTTGCTGGGCTCGCCTTCCTTGTAAAAGGATTGTGTGCGTCAGAAGAGCCTCGCAGGAGCAGGCGAAAACCCAATCCCAAAATGGCCAACCAGACGCCTCCTATAAGCCAGGCGACTCAGAGCTGTGCTGCCTTGGGTCCTGGAGCGTCGTGGTTAGTAGCCACGAGGCATTGCCAATTTCCGCCCCGAGTTTGCCTGTCGGATCCCGATGCTGCGCCCATCCACTCTGCTCCCTGTAGGAATTAAGAAAAGTCCCCCTCCTTGCCATCTCTCCATTTAATCAAGATAATGACTGAAGATAGTTTGAGCCCGGGTGTTCCTGTAAACAGATTAGAAATAGATATACCACGTTCACCTGAGGGGGGATGGGCTGAAGGTCATTGTTCAGTCCCCGCTTGACAGCAATTGTGCCATAAGGCCTTTTTGAACAAGATTATTGGATGCGTTTTGCGTATGTGTAATTACCCCCTTTCATGGCTTGTGTCGTTTGGCGCTTAATCTAGGACCAGGAAATAACCAGCCTTCCAGCCTGTCCTATAGCATAGGGTATGAATTGGGATACGCTCAAGATACTTTTGCTCCAGTAGTTTTAGTTGGTTGTAGGTGGGTGTTTTATTTATCATGGCATTTATTTTTCTGTTAACTGCCCGGATTCTGGGAGATTGTGATAGAAAGCAAAGTAAATAAATATAATGGTATTTATCCAGATGTGTTCTTTTCCTGAGGGATGTTCCCATACTGATAGGAGGAAGAAAGATAACATGGTCCAAAATGTTTTTACTGTTGCTTCTTTGCTTAGGAGGGAATCCACAGTTGGTGTGAAATACCCGGCATTGTTAGGCTCAAATTCAAAATAAGCTGTGGTTGTGTTCACATGAGACACTTCTAAATGGTCAATTTTTTAAAAAAAACTCAGCTAACCCAGTTTTATGGATTAATTGCAATATGTTCGACCACAAACTAGACAAACATGTTTTGTGTACTCATCAAGCCCAACCATTTTAATTGTTATGCCATTTTATGTGATGCCATTTTACTCCTTTTTCAAATGGTTAAATGATGCTATATTTACTGCCTTGTGACTATTCTGCCTCTCAACCTGGAGTTTTAATTTTGCAAAATGTTGAAATTGAGGATAGTGCCACTTAAATTTCAAATTAATGATGATTGCGTTGTATTTATAATTTTAAGTATTTTAAAATTAGAGATATTGAGAAAATGTCAGTTGAAAATAGAACTGGAAATCATAGCTTATTCAGAGTTTATTACTATAAATACTTTTAGCTGAAGTAGATTTATAAAATTCATTTTACTTTTGTTTCTTTTTTCCCTAAATTGTATTTACCCTTTTAAAATTAGGATTTCATTTTTCATTGTTCCCTTAAAGAATTCTCATTAAAGACTGCTGAAAATATAATACTTTGGAAATCTGCAGTAGGTATTATATATATCTATCTTGCAATACATTCTAATATGTGGTGATCCATAATTTTTCTTTCATGTCTATGAGTAGTTTCATTGTTCTTTCATAGATATGAGTGTATTCTTATGTCATAAAAGCTGTGTCAGTGCATGTAATTTTAAAGGATGTTAACATGTGAAATTCAAGATCATGAACTTCTAATAGCTATAATGCATAGGGAACTTTAGGAGTTTATGTTGGATTCAATTTATATTACGTAGTTCCTGTTACTACAGTCTTTGGTTGAGAAGAAAGAGAAATCAAATCAAATTACAGGAGAGTTATAAGCTCTATAAGTGATAGAGATCTTAACAATAGAATGTATTTAGTGCATCTGTGGCATAGAAACTTGCAAACCACGTTAATTAAAGATTATTTTAGTTACAGTAAATAGTTTTCTGTTCTACTGATTCTTATGAAAACATGATTATATAGTATATGCTTTCTTAACAGCCATTGGAAACTTGCTCGATTATCTAAAAGCAATAAAAGAGCCTTTTTAAAATTTTATTCTTTATTTTTAGAAGTTTACAAACTATAGGCAGGCTACTAAAATACACATTAATAACAACATTTAATTAATTCGAGAAATAAGAATTTCAAAAAATTAAATGATTAGTGAAAAGTAAAACATTAAAAGAAAGACAACATTCCAGCATCCTTAAAACCCCTAAATAAAATTTAACCAAATACAGTACTAAAGAATTTGTTGAGAATAGTCTAATATATATGTGAAACTTATTGTCACTAATTTTTTAAAAAATACTATATAATACTGTATTATAACTATGACAAAAATACCCAATGCTAATCTTAAAATTTATGCCAAAGAAAAAAATATTTCTTCATCCTTTGACTAAACATACTTTTCCAGATTCCAACATTTCCAAGAGCCAGTCCTTACTGTCTGGAATAATTAGAATATTACTTTTCCAATTTCTCTATATCATTCTTCTTCCCAACTCCAGCCCGTGACTGGTACAACCACAATTTCATAGTCAAATTCCAGACTTTTGGTAAATAATTCAACTTCACATCTTTAATGTTGAGATAGTTCCCCATAAGTCTATTAATGTATATTAAAATACTACTCCAGAAATGTAGTGCATAAACATTTCATATAGCTCAATAAGTCCTATTTTTTTTTTATTTCCAATAGAGAAAATCTGATATTACCCCTTTTAAATACATTGTTTGGAGAGTCCAATATACTCTAAATAGATGAATTTTGATGAATCAACTTTAACTTCAAATTCCTTAAATGCCATTTTAAAGAATATAATACTGGTAATCTTTGTTTAACAATCACAGTTGGGACTGACAACTTGGTCATTAAATGAAGCAGTCACTAAGTGAAAAATTCTTGAGACTATGCTTCAATCTTCAGCTTTCATTTGTTTTGCATATCTGCAAAGAAGGTAAATGGGGGCATTGGTTACAAAATTACTAAATAAGGTCCAGCAACATAGTAATATATTGGGAGCATTGGTGGAGATTCCAAATCTAGGTTTGATTGGTATACGCAGTGTTTTCAAAGGTAATTAACTTCTCTTTATCATTGTTTTTCTTTCTAAGAAAATATAAGATTGGCCCCCACTTTGACACTCTTTCATAAGGCCTGAAGACCTAGTTTTGTCAACAAGCCTGGGGACTTCAGAGTGGGATGGAGCTCCTCAAATGGCTAATTTGATCAGGGGTCTTCAAACCTGGCCCTTTTATGACTTGTGGACCAACTTCCAGAATTCCTCAACCAGGCATTTTGGCTGGGGAATTCTGGGAGTTGAAGTCCACAAGTCATAAAAAGGCCAAGGTTGAAGACCCCTGCATTTGATTGTTGATTGTTGACACCAGAGTGTGGGGGGAGCTTTGGCTTTTTATTGTTTTTATATTGGGTTTTTATCCTCGTAAGCCACACAGGATCACTGAGAGTGAGTTGGGAGGCCATATACATTTTCATAAATAAATAATAGTTCGTATAATTTGCTATTCAGAGTAGCTCAGTGAAAATGTATTTGTATTATCTTGTTTCTTAATGCATACATTTGAATAGTTTTACATCTTTTTAAAATGTAGAAGGTGTCTAACTTTCAATTTCTTTTATAGAACATGACAGCGATGATGATTCATATGAAGTACTGGATTTAACAGAATATGCAAGGCGTCACCATTGGTGGAACTGTGTATTTGGCAGAAATTCTGGACCTCTTGTAGAAAAATATTCTGTAGCAACTCAGATTGTAATGGGTGGTATAACAGGCTGGTGAGAACAAATTACTTTTGACATTCTATTTGGGACATTTGTTTTACATACAGATAGTCCTCGACTTAGAACAGTTTGTTTAGTGACCATTCAAAATTACAACAGCATTGAAAAAAGTGACTTATGACCATTTTTCACACTTATGACAGTTGCAGGATAACCACGGTCACATGATCAAAATGTAGACGTTTGGCAACTGACTCATATTTATGACAGTTGCAGTGTCCTGGGTTTGTAAGATCACCTTGACCTGACAAGCAAAGTCATTGGGGAAGCCAGATTCATTTAACAACCTTTATCAACTTCAGTGATTCACTTAACAACTGGCAAGAAAGGTTGTAAAATGGGGCAAAACTCATTTAATTTTCTCACTTAGCAACAGAAATTTTGGGCTCAATTGTAGCTATATGTTGAGGATTATCTGTACTTAATCTGCTTTTTTAATATATGTGTATAAATGCTAAATGTGATTATTGTATTTTTGTATTGTCTGATGAATTATAAAATAATAGAAATAAAATAGTTTTTTCAATAATTCATGTAAGTAATTTGCTAAAATTTCTTAAAAATAAATGTTTTTGTTGTGATTTTTGAAAGAACGAAAATGAATATAAAAATATGGGCTGAAAGAGGCTGAATAAATATATCCAACACTGTAGTGTGTGGTAGAGTAATATACAGTTTATATTTGACAGCATCTTCATTCTATGTTGTTATGGATAGCACATTCTCCATAAAGATTGTGCAAGATTCAGTGCATGAAGTTACAGAGAGCTGTATGATCATATTTATTAAAAAAAGATTCTGACTGCATTTTAACATGATTTAATCTCATGTGTTACTCTGCCATTACTTCCTCTGCATTGTCAGCATTCTGGCATATTTCCTATACTTTTCACATTTAAATATAGCACCATATTTTTATTGCCCGTTGTCTCATGAATACTTATTTGTGTATTTGTCTACACAGATCCTGAATTTTATTTCTCTTTTTCTTTATTAAGGTGTGCAGGATTTTTGTTTCAGAAGGTCGGAAAACTTGCAGCAACTGCAGTAGGTGGTGGCTTTCTGTTGCTACAAGTAGGTAGATGTTATTCTGAAAATATTAATTTAAATAAATGTCAGTTAAGTGTTTTGCAAATAGAAAAGGAAATAGAACTTAGAGAAATAGAGGGATTTGAACTCAGGGGAACTCCACCTTAGGCATAAAAGCCAAGATGGGTGACTTTAGGCAAGTCATTTTCTCTCAGCCAAATCCTCCTCACATGGCTGTTGTAGAGAAAACAGGAGGAGGGAAGGACTATTAGATATGTTCACTGCTTTTGAGTTATTTGTAAAAATAACAAAGGTGGTATACAAATAAATATTTAAGGGGATTGTGCAAGCAGATTTTCAAAAGTGTTAACTATTTTTAAAAGAAAATAAAAAGATAAGCATATATTTAACAACCAATCATATGAGCTGACTTACAGAAATTAATCATTTTACATATTCCCAATATGCCATAGAGATAACCCAATTCCTTAAAGTGTACTTGAGAAAAAAGCTAATAACTAGGAAGAAAAAATACATTCTACCTGCAAAACTAGACATAGTTAGGTACATCCTATAGATTTAATAAAAATGTTGCTGTGTTCATTCTTGTATAGATTTCTGTTAAGAAACTGCATACTAATGATTATAGGGCTTTATCTAAAACCCAGATATGCACATTTAAAAACACACTGCACTCAAATAAACCTGATTGGCTTTTAGGTAAAAGTTAATGTGTCTTCGTAAGGAGAACAAACCTATTTCAGGTTGTTATTTTGTCTAGGGAGATATGTAATGTGAAATGACAAAAATAATATCTCTTATTGCAATTATTTTCTGCCATAAATACATAATTTAAATCTTTAAAAAGGATATTTCTGCGTTATTCTGATGGCAGCACCAGGTACAATATCCACATGTTGTCAGCCCTCCTGGGTAAATCGGATAGAAAACAATTAAATGAGCTAAATATACTTTATTATAAGGCTCCATTAACAGAATCGTGCAAGTCTGAAGTACAGACTTCCAGCTGTCACTTTAACCATCTGATCCATTAGGTGGGTAAAAGCTTCCTAAGTTTCTTTCTCGGACTGTGAAAGTGACTGCAGGCTCCTATCTCTGTCTTGTCCAAGGCAGCATCTTTTTCTCTCTTATCCCAAGGTCATCCACACGTTCCATTACAAGTGTTCAGAATGTGTCCTTTCAATCTGCTATTCGTACATCAGAATATTGTGGTGGAAAAGCTTTTGCAGCTTATTGTTTAGTTGTTTGCCTTACATGGAGCTTCCGGACTGTTTGTTTAGTAAATTTTAGGCTGCTTACTTCATACACATGACTGTGGATGGCTGGTACATATTTGGGAATCAAATTTGGGCTAAAAAGTGGTAACTCTGCACTCACCCCATTTTCCCTGCTGCAGAGGAAGTAGAGAAAGTGGAGCATGATATGAATAGAACTTTCTACGGGTGGGCTGATGTCGGGGTTTGGCCTACTTCTGTCTTAACTGAACACAGACATCATTTCCTGAGGCCCCTCAGCCAGTTCACAAGTGAGAATAGATTTGTTTACGAAGTATAAAACTCTCTATATCCAGACGGTCTTTTAAATGCTCAATGCAGATATGTTATTTCTTATATTCTTAAACTTGTTAAAACTTTTTTTTATGTTCCTAGATAGCTAGCCATAGTGGTTACATACAGGTTGATTGGAAAAGAGTTGAAAAAGATGTAAATAAAGCAAAAAAGCAGCTCAAAAAACGTGCAAACAAAGCAGCACCCGAAATCAACACATTAATTGAAGAGGTAAAATATGTATTATTGATTTTATATATTGATTTTGTGTAATTTCTTGGTATAAGGATGTCCCATTCAGGAAAAAAATGTTTAATAGATCTTCATCATGTTGTATCTCATATAACCTAGCTTTACTCTGAACTTGTTAGAAACAAGTTGCTGCCTATCTGGAATATTTGATTGTTCAGTAATAAGAGCCTTAACTGTTGTGTTTTTTTTTATTTTAACATGGTTCAGCTGGTTGGGTGTTTTATATTACTTATATATGTATATTTGTGTTATGCTATATATTATTAAACTATTTTTGCCGCCTCCTGGAGCCTACTTTTTTAGGTGAAGAATTGTATTTAAAAACAAAATTTAAAAATGCATTGGCTTTACTCTACAAAATCTTGTATCACAACCAATTTGATAGTCTTAAATTGCCATATACCTAAATTTTTAGTGTAGCAGGTTAGTAGAAGTAACTTGTACAGCTTCATTTATAATATTATTGAGGATTTGAGATACTTTCTATAAAGCAATTTTAAAATACAGGTAGTCCTCGAGTTATGAGTGTAATGGAGCCTAGCTGTCCATTTCACTTGTAACTCGAAAACCTATAGAGTGAATATCATACCTCAAACGAGATCACTCCCTTGCTCGTTAAAATGCATGCGGTTCATTAAGTGAACATGAGGTATCTCAGGGTGGGGAAGGCCATGGAGGCCTAGTGATGGAACAGGCCCCCAAGGTCTCCCCAAATCACTAAGATACCGCATGCTTCCCCCTCCCTTCCTGCCGTGCCGGACTCATCTGGAAAAGATCTGTCTCCTCCCTACTGCAGTTCCTGCTGCCTCCTGGATCTGAGGCAGGGGGATGCTTCCATGAGATCCGGGTTCCGGAGGCATTTTTTAGGCTACTGCTACCTGGATCTGAAGCCAGCAAAGACTTCCACAGCCCCCCCACCGCCCACAGCTTGATACGGGCTCTGGAGGAGTCCCCCAGCTTCAGTTCCATTCTCTGTTGCAGAGAACAGAGGCCTAAAGTACCATGAGATCACGTGAGATCAGTAGCGTGAGATCTCCCCCCACTGATCTCACATGATCTTGCGTTACTTTAGGTCTCCATTCTCTGCGAACGCACCGAAGGCCTGGAGTAGCCAAGAAAGTGAAAGATCTTGATCTTTGCAGGGTGAGTATTGAAGGCCTGGTGCCTAGGGAGACCTGGGGCGGGGTGGGGAGGGAGGGAATAACCAGGGTGAATGTTGCAGAACCACTGCGGTCGTTCATAAGAGCGAACAACTGCCGTGGTGCTTCAATATTCATAATTTTGCTCGTAAGCACTAGGGGGCACTCATCACGTAACTTTGAACGAGCGTTACGTGAATGCTCATAACTCGGGGATTACCTGTATATTATTTCTAAGTATTAAGGTAAATTGTTCTTTTTAAATAACCTATCTTTCTAAACCTTAATTAAGAATTATACTATATGCTATTACTTTTACAATGGCTATTGAGCTTCAAAACTACTTAGTCTGGGTGAGGATATAATGTCTACCTAGGAATAAAAATGGAAAGAAGGTAATTACAGTAAGAAATATTAAACAAGAGTTAAGCTTTTATTTTCTAGTTTTTCATTCCCTTCAATCCTAGTTGCTTCTTTGTTTTACGGAGGACTTCCAGAAATCAAATCAACTTAAATAATTGTTAGAATGCTGGTAGAAGAAAATGAAAAATGATTTTCACCAAGCATGAGTTATATGCCCCTGTTCAGACCTACTCTACAATGATAACGGTGGCAAAACATCTTCTCCACTATTACATTAATACACACCCATTTCTGTTAGAAAGAAGTTAATGCCAAGTTCTTCATCTAGTCAATGTGGCCAGTTTGCACAGCAAAATTGCTTCACAAGGAGAGTTCACTTCTGCTGGTCCTCAGTGGGTCTCCATGACCATGATATATTGTACTGGATGGCCTTATGGAGTTCAGGATTGAAAGTATCACCTTCCAATGCTCCACTCCTTCCTTAGAAAGCAGATGGAAACATTACCGTGTTTCCACAAAAATTGGACCTATCCCGAAAATAAGCCCTAGCTTGATTTTTATGTGTGACCCTAATATAAGACCAACTCCAAAAATAAGCCCTAGTTAAGTCTCCGCCCATTCCATCCCACCCTCTGGTTGTATAAGGTGGGGTGAGGCACGTGTAAAAATCAAGCTAGGGTGGAACTGCCCCACACGCCCTGCCCCCGTTTACTTCAGGACCGCTCCAGCCAAGCTTTCCACACCCCAACACCTGTTGCACTGCTGCCTGATTTCTGCAGCCACTCGTAGCAGGACACCATGTGGCATGTTGCACCAGGGCCACTGCTTGTGGCTGGATGCCACATGGCGCATCATCCCACATGGCGTCCTGCCACGAGCGGCAGCACCGGTGCAACGCGCAGCCTGCCGCGAGCAGTGGCACTGGCACGATGCGTGGCATCTTGCCGCGAGGAGCGGCACCGGCACGATGCAACACATGGTATCCTGCCACAAGTGGCAGCATCAGAGCAACGTGCCTCCTGCCACAAGTGGCTGCAGAAAAAGTCAGGCGGTGGTGCAACAGGTGTCGGAGTGTGGGAGGCCTGGCTGCAACGCTCCTGAGGTAAGCGGGTAAGACATCTCCTGAAAATAAGACCTAGTGCCTCTTTTGGAGGCAAAAAAAATATAAGACCGTGTCTTATTTTCGGGAAACATGGTAGTAGTGGGAACGGCGAAGTGAGTCAGTGATCTCTGCTTTGCAGAATGCTGCATGTATTGCTCTTCTCTCTCCTGTTCACTCTGCTGGGTGAGGTAATCTGATTGTTCAAAATACATCATATATCATCTTATCCTGGTGATGCTCAATCACTACCCCTGGAGGTAGGGCAAATATTATTGATGTCCTTTCTGGGTATTTGAAGACCATCAGAGATTGGATGGCACAGAGCAAACTGTAGCCATGCCCAATCAAAGGGACTTTGCCCTTGGGGCAGTCCATTGACATTAGTGTTCTCTCTGGAAGATGGCACTATCCCTGGAGAAGCAGGTTCAGGATTTGGGGTTTCTTCTAGTCATACATCTTTTGCTAGTACAGCAGGTGGGAGCTGTGATTTGAAGGGTCTTTGCCCAGCATTTAGTACACCAGCTATTCATTGTTGGCAGAAGAGGACCTTGCTACAGTAACTTAGGCCCTTCTTACCACCAGGTTAGACTATTGCAAGGCACTTTGTAATAGTCTAACCTTTTAAAGATAATTCAGAGACAGTAATTAGTGCAAAATCCAATGGCCTATATAATACTAGCACTTGCTGCCCAAACATATTACACTTTTTGTTATGGGGCTCTGCGCTAGATGCCAATTAGCTTCTGTGTGCAAGTTTGACCTAACAAAAGCTTTTATGTTTTGGCACATGGGTAATTCACAGGGCTGTTTGTGCCAACCCAAACTCAGCCTAATCAATTAGGTCATCTATGGAGAAAGTGTTTCTAGTGTCCCACTTTGGGGGATAAAAGGAGCTACTTCTTGGTAGCAAGGCCAGTTATGTGCAACAATCCTCCTGTGAAAATCAAGCTGATTACCTCACAAATTTTATTCAGAAAGATACTGAAACAGAACTGCCCAGATGGCATTCTGATTAAATTGGGTCATTTCTTTTATTTGGTGAATTGTTTTATTCTTGATATTTTATTGTTACATTGTTTTGATTTTTATGCTAATGTTATTTTCACTGTATATAATGTTAACTGGTAAGAATCGTTTGATTGTGGTAAGATTTAAATGTGATAAACAAGCATGGTACGGTCATGGAATAAAGCAGCAATTGATACAAAAACATATACATTGTTAACTGAAATGTTCACGATGATAAAGAAATATTGTTAGTGCTTTGGAAAAGTTAAGCGATTCATCTTCAACTTCAATACTATTAAGAGTCTATTGCAGAGAATCAGAGCCAGGAGAAAAGCTCTTAAGAGGGCCCTGAACATGCTATTATGAAGTAGAATCAAATAATTCTGGCCTATTGTAACATTAAGAGACAGAAACAAAGTAAGAAAAGTGCATGAAGAACAGCATACTGGTTATGAATAAAGTGTTAGATTGCCCAATCAACAGATTGCTACAATAATCCAAGTCTGACACAATCAGAACATTAAACAAGAAATGCTTGTAGATGCTGTGGGCATTCATTCCATGGAAAGGCAGGTTTTAGGAGGTTGTGGGCTTTTTGTTTTTAATAATAATAATAATAATAATAATAGTAAAGTTGGAAGGGACCTTGGAGGTCATCTAGTCCAACCCCCTGCTCGGGCAGGAAACCCTACACCATTTCGGACAAATGGCTGTCCAGTCTCTTCTTAAAAACTTCCAGTGTTGGAGCATTTACTGCTTCTGGAGGCAAGCTGTTCCACTGATTAATTGTTCTAACTGTCAGGAAGTTTCTCCTTAGTTCTAGGTTGCTTCTCTCCTTGATTAGTTTCCACCCATTGCTTCTTGTCCTGCCTTTTGCATGTTTGTTTTTTAATAAGGATTTTTAAATTGATATATTACTCATTTGGGTTTCCAGTAGCTCAGAACAGATAACCTTGGAACACAAAATGAGAAATGGGAAATGGGTGGGGACTGAGATGATCAGGCTATCAGAATACAATAACCTCTATCATATCATGTTCAGTTTAAGACAATGAGAGCACATCCAATCTGAAACCATATTACAGCAGTTATAAAAAAAAATCCCACATTGTTATCCACAGAAGGGACAAACAAATCTGAAAGTACTCAGCATATATGTAGAATTGAATTTGAAATTTGGAATACAAATTCAGAGCACATAATGAAAAGAGTTCATCAAGAGAATAATAAGGGACCCAAAACTGAGCTGTGAAGAATTCTTACTGGCAAGAGGAATGATTGAAAAATTGAGTTATTCCATGAAACTTGAGAGCATTCTGTGAGATTAATGTTGAAACCACTAAATCTGCAGTTTGGAGATGTATGGCAGAAGGCTGAATAGTAGTATAAATAATATATTTATAATATATTGTATATAAGTGCTCATTGGTTAGCATCCAGTGCATCTATGCAATCTGACATAAACCTCTTTCATTTTCAGTCAACAGAATTTCTTAAACAGAACATCGTGGTGTCTGGTGGGTTTGTTGGAGGCTTTTTGCTAGGTCTTGCATCTTAAGGACATGATTTTCATCTTCCTGCTGACTTAACCACGGAAAAGATGAATGACAGTGATGCACAGAGCTTGTCTATCCTCCCTAAATCTCCTGAGCAAGAAGGATGGAGTTGCCAGATACATTGGAGCATTTTATATCTTAGGCTTTACCTCCTGATGCTTACTGAAGGAGGTTTGCTGAAAATTCTGCTGTGCGTTCAGTATCATTCCCAAAGAAAAAAAGGCTAATTCTCATAATGTTTTCATTTTCTTTTAGAGTTCATATTGAATATGTTATTTTTGTTCTGCACTTCTCATTTTTAGAGTTTATATTTATTATATAAAATTATCTCATACTGTGGTTAATGATGTTATGCCAAACATGTTGAATATTGTATTTTAAGCGCAAGGCTAGCCTACTTATTTTTGAAATCACAGCGTAATAATAATTTGTACAGGTATTTTTTGCAAAGATGAAATAATAAGCAACTATGAACCCATTAAAGAGTAAAAAATACCATTAGCAGATCTTTGCTGTTTAATATTTTCATTCTTTTCTCAACTTGGGATTGTATTATGAATCTGCATTCAAGCAGCCTGTATGAGATGCAAACCATAATCTTCTTGATTCTGGGTTACAAATTACAACTCATTCTTTCAATGCCGCAGTGTCATCACTGCATAATGGTACCTTTGAAAAATTGAGTTAGTAGATTAAAAAGTCCATGCAATTATACTGATGAGGAAAGGAAGTTCATATTAGGAGCAGTTTTATTACCCATATAAGTAAGCAGCATGCAAGCTTTTGAATACCAAGTATCTCTTTTCCAGATACAATGGCTAAATATCCAGAACAGAAATGGAGGGGTGTGGGAGATAACAGAATAATAGAGTTGGAAGAGACCTTGGAGGTCTTCATGTCCAACTCCCTGCTCAAGCAGGAGACCCTATAGCATTCCACACAAGTGACTGTCCAGTCTCTTCTTAAAAGCCTCCAATGACGGACCACCCACAACTTCTGGAGGCAAGTTGTTCCACTGATTAATTGTTCTAACTGTCAGGAAATTTCTCCTTAATTCTAGGTTGTTTCTCTCCTTGATTATTTTCCATCCATTGTTTCTTGTCTTGCCTTTTGGTGCTTTGGAAAATAGGATGACCCCCTCTTCTTTGTGGCAGCCCCTCAAATATTGGAATACTGCTTTCATGTCACCCCTAGTCCTTTTCACTAGACTAGACAAACCAATTCCTGCAACCTTTCTTCATATGATTTAACCTCCAGCCCCTTAATCATCTTCGGGAGGTTTTCTGCCCTCTTTCTAAACACTCTGCATTTTTTTAATAATATGGTGACCAAAACTGGATGCAGTATTCTGAGTGTGGTCTTATGAAGTATTTATAAAATGGCACTAATACTTAATGTGATTTTGATTCTATCCTCCTGTTAATGCAAGCTAGGATTGCATTGGCTTTCTTTGGCGGCTGCCGCACACTGTTGGCTCATATTTAAGTGACTGTCTACTAGGACTCCAAGATCCCTCTCACATTTACTGCTATTGAGTCAGGTTGCACCTAATCTGAACCTGTACTTTTGATTTTTCTTGCCTGAGTGTAAAACCTTACTTTTCTCACCATTGACTTTCATTTTGCTAGATAGGACCCAGTGTTAAAGTCTGTCAAGATTCTTCTGTATCTTGAGGCTCTCTTCTGGAGTGTTGGCTATTCCTGCTAGTTGTTTGCAAATTTGATGAGTTCCTCTTCTATTCCTTCACTGCTGTTAAAACTATGTCTGCACCATGTTACAGTGTTAAAAAGCATGTTAGAGTGTGGATAGATAATGTAAATTGGTTCCTACTAGATACGTTTTTCAAGTTCTTGGGAATCTCCCTGCTTATTCCTATAAGTAGAATCCAACAAATAATCAAATAATGCCAGTTTTGGTAAGCATAAAATTCAACATTTAAAGTCAAAATTTCTGTCTTCCATATTAAGATACAGATATTTGAAAGCAGAAATCAACTAGTCTTTCCAATCCAGGCATCCTCCAGATATATGATTTTCAGAGTCCCCCAACCTGCATAGCCATTGTTGAGAATTTTGGAAGTTGAAGACCAGGCATATAAAGGTTACCCAGGTTATGGAAGGCTAGGTGATCTTTGTTAATAGTGCTAGAAATAATTTAAGACGTATTAGAGAAGGATAAACAGGAAAATCTGTAAAGGTCATTGGGAAAAAATCCCTCCATTATTCCAGCTTTGTTACTATTCTTTCATGTCTTTTGACTTAATTCCTTTTTATTTAATTGGACCTCTCACACTGTTCATTCTTCAATTCTGTTAATATTTTGGTTCACCTTTCCATTGGGATTCTTCAGGATTGTCAATGGCCAATTTCTTTTTTACTGTATCCTTGCTTTTGACAGATAATTTCTTTTGGTGCAGAATTGTTATTGGTGATGGTATCCAGTTATATTTTTCTGTTTTACAGCTATTCCTCTTTGAATGGAGGATTATCTAAAAAAATATGCCTTTACTGCCTTTTTCTAAATCTTCACTTTTGACTTCCCTCTCTCTCCCTCTTCCTCTCTTTTATATAGCAATGCCACTCAGTTAAAATTTACAGCTTTTATCTTACTATACATTTCTGTCACAGCTAAATTCTGTCATTTTTCCCTCATTTTTTAAAATTTTTAAATCCTTTCACTGATTAAAACAAATTTCATTCATGGGTTATATAAACCTGAGATGGGTGTCCATACATAAGAAAGAGGAGTAACATGCACACCAGCCCTGCTTACTCTTTCTGATTTGAATGGGAGAGTCTACAGATTACCACATTATTAGTAAGCAGGATTTTATTCTGACCCTGGAAACTTCTACTCGCATTCAATGAATAACAATCCCAACAAGTAAGCACCTTCCCTTTCAGATGACCTGGGAGCACTGAACAAGGATGGATTTGGGACCACTGAGCAAGCCCAGGGATCTTATATATTTTATTCAATATTCTAGTCTTTTGCCATAGACCCACTAAGAAAAAATAATCAGAATTCCAGTTTATAACTTCTCTTTCCCCACTATCTTGCTACACTTTCATTAGCATGCGCTATTCATTACAAAGAATCTAACCACTACCATATCTAGGATGTTTTTTAACAGGTTGTGATGATGGGCCACCTACATTGCTTTCATATTTTTCTCTAATGGTTTGGCGTTTTTTTGCACTAGTCTTAAGGCAAGAAAAATGAGTGCTTGCTGGATCACTCAGTCCTCATCTTCCAACAATGCCAGAAAGCTGTAGAAACTATTCATTGGAGAGCTGTTTCTATTTTTAACTACTGTAGTAGTGACTGTATGAACAGAGGTATTCAGGACTACTCTCATCTTGAAACATTTTGCAGTTTCTAGAAATCCACCAACATTTTTCAGAAATTTTTATGTTCATTATGCCAATATATATTTATTTAGTTTTAGTAAGACTTTACATTTCTTGGCAAACCTGTTTTATAGATTAGGGAAAATTAAGGAAAAATGAGTAAGAAGTATCTTGGTTTTGGCAAGAAGCATAACTAAGACAAATCAGTCTTGTTTCTAAATGAACTCTAGTCATCAAATCAATTTGATGCTTTTTTTTTTTTTGCTAATCTTGAAGTAATTCTTATTACTGCATTTTCAGCCTAAGCCATAAGGAAAGTTCTCAGATTTGATTAAACTCAATTGAAGACAATGTGATTAGTTTGGCAAAGGTCCAAGCTTTTTAATTTAATTGGGTTGTGCATTGAGTAAAAATCAGGATTTTTTTAACTACAAATAGGAAATCTATTTTATTAATGGCCATATTTTACTTTAAAAAGAATATTTGTTCAGCGAAAGATAAGCCATTATAATTTCAATCAAGAATTTTTGTCACAACTGGCAAACTGCAGACTTTTGGTTCATTGGATATGATTCATGTATTATAAATGACAATGCTAAATAGAATGTAAATTAATGTCTGATACATTTTTCTTTGGAAACAAAGTGTAGCAATGAGATCAATCTTACATAAATCCAGTTAGTTACATTTACCTATTACACAATTTCTACACATTGTGCAAAATTGTTCACAAATACTATTGAAGCCTTACTAAAATAAAGGGATATTATAATGACTAAGAAAAATGTCTGATGGCTTATGTTCCCTATTTACATCAGTTGCTTTAAATAACCAAAAAAATGTGACTTATAGCAATTTCGCTTTAATCGCTTAAGATGACTCTTTTCTACAGAATGATTTCATTTAAATTCTTCTTGGTTTCAATTTAGGAAAGGAATACCACTAATGCCTAACAAATCTTAAAGGTCAATTTAATGCCAGCCAAATCCACAAGTCACATGGGAAGGGATAGTCTACCACTGCAACTGTTAGTTTCCCAAAACCTGGATTTTCAGAAATAAGCAAGTTTTAAAGATATACGTCCTGTTTCACTATTAAGATAAATGTTATATATATATGAATTTCTCTAACCCTAGCTTAAAACACATTTAACTAGTGTTATATATGCCCTATACTATAGCTGAGAATTGAGCTTGAGTTTAATTATATAGTGTACTATTAGCCAAACTTTACTACACCATTAACCAATTGGTTGCTTTGTAGATGTGCTGAATAACAAATTATGTTTGGGTAAGATTTGATTGATGGGATTTGTAGTTTATCACAACTGGATGGCACAAAGTCATAAATCTTGTTTTATTGGCTAGCATCAAATTCTCATCTCATATTTTCAGTGTTCCTTACCTCAAAGAATATGTATTATTAACACCTGTTTTCTACTTAGATTAAGTTAAGACTGGTGCATCCATTGCTCTAATCCATAATCCATTGTTCTAACAATTTGTTGTTTTTTCTAACCTGACCGGAAGCTGTCTTTCAAGAATCAATCACCAACATAATGGATCACCATGTGAGATAGTAAATTTATGGGTTCATGTCAGATCTAGTTTCTGTGCTTTTTTTTTTAAATAAATGATAAAAAGCAACCAACACTGAGTGCAATTACATGCTGGACCATGTGAGCTACCTACTAGCTATATGTAAGACTTCCACAACTTGCTTATTGCTGTTTTCAGCCACAGGAAACTGATTAGCTATTGTGTAACTTAATGTTAGTCCCTATGTTGCTTTCAAGGATAACCTGACACTCTAATTGCAATATTTCCTTTAATGCCTTTTATTGAAACAGCTGGAAAGAAAGAAATGTTTAATTAAAAATGCAATTGAAAAGCTACCAAGCTTGGCAGAAGCAAAAGCTGTGAGATTTCAGGTTGACAATTTTGTATTAAGAATGCAACTGAGCAGGTCATGCATGTCACAATTAAATTCCAGCCACAGCTAGTCTTCCACACAAACTCCTGTGAGTCATTTTGTATTGACAGTGAATAGTGTTGCATCTTAATTGAATCATTTACTGATTTAATTTAAAATCAACAAGCAAAGAAGCTATTTTGAATAAAACGATGTAATGGGAAATATAGAGGTGAGATAGGCATTCTTGTCAGTAACATTTCAGTGATTAATCTATTTTGAAAAACCTTTTCAACCAAAATAAATATATTAAAGAAATTTCAGTCTTTTCTTATAAATCTTTATTGGTTTCAGAAATTAAATAATAGATTTCAGTTCTCAAATTGTTATTCGGCTACATATTTTCCAGACTAATAAATAATGTCTTTCTTATTTTCAATGGTATTGTATGTATTGGATCCATTATTAATTTGCTTCCCTTATGGTGTAAAATTATGGTGTAAAACTATTGAAAGTCATGCTTAAAATATATGATGGATGGGGAGGCAACTATAAAAATCTGGATGATGGCTAAATGGCATTAAGAGACTTTATCTCTCCATAGTCATCTTGTAATCATCTGAATTTTCAATGCAGATCATATATTAATATAACAGAATATATATTACATTATACTACATTACATATATACATACAGATACTCCTCAACTTACCACCACAACTGGAACCAGAATGTCTGCTGCTAAGCAAGGTGTTTGTTAAGTAATTGTGCCTGATTTAATGATCTTTTTTCTGATGGTTAAGCAAATCACTGCAATTGTTAAATGAGCCAAGAGGTTATTAAGTGAATCTGGCTTCCACTATTGACATTCCTTGTCAGAAGCCAGTTGGGAAGATTGTAAATGGCAATCATATGACCCCAGGGTGTTGCCACTATCAAAAACCCATGCCAATTGCCAAACACCCAAATTTTGATCATGTGGCCATGGGAATGCTGCAACAGTTGTAAGTGCAAAGTAGTCATAAGTAGTTTTTTCAGTGTCATTGTAACTTTGAACAATCACTAAATGAATAGTTGTAAGCTGAGGACTACCTGCACACTTCAAATCCTATGCTTCCTTATCATGGCAGGGATGGGATGGTTATTTTCCTGGTGTAAGATAAGCAAAGAACACCAGAAGTGTATGCCAAGAATATATATTCCCAGCAAGATCACCCAAGGTCACCACAGCTGCCCAGATAAAGCATACAGGGATCTGTATCAGGCCAGTAGCAGTATAGGAAAATGCTGGAGACAAGTGAGCATTTTTGTGACAATGGCAAAGGCATCGTTTTATACTGCACTGAAGAAGGCAATGGTAAACCACTTCTGTAGTTTACCAAGAAGACCTCACAGAAAAATATTATAAAGTAATCAAAACTTTATAGTGTCTGATGATGGACTCCTTAGGTTAGATGTCACTCAACAAACTATTGAAGAATTGCTAGGTTCTTTTGAAACCCAATGCTTTTGATGAGGAGTATCTGTATAACCCTGAGAAGAAGCACCAACCCCTCCCCCTTAATTAAAGTTAACTGTTTTCCAGGGTGACAATTGTCTAAAAAACAAGTTGGGCCAGTCACACTTTCTCAGCCCAACCCACTTCACAAGGTTGTGGGGAAAATAGGAGGAGGAAGGAATATTATGTATGTTTGCTGCCTTGAGTTTCTTATAAAATAATAAATATGGGATAAATATCTAATAACTAACAAGAATAACATGATAAACTCTTCAGTCTGAAGATAGAGGGATAGCTTGCTTGCTTTAGCATTGAACTGCGGCTAAGTTACTCATACATAAAATGGAATTTGTTACATATTCAACAAACTCAGTAAGATAGGCTGACATAGACAGTGATGATTAGTTCAAAGTCATTCTGTCAAATTCAGGCAAAAGTGACAAATTGAGCATCAAAATTCCTCACCTAAGTCCACCACCACAGGCAGTGCAATTGAAATTGCTCTCAGAATTCTCTGTGATCAAATGAGGAAATGCTTCAGTTCGTACGACAGCAGAAAGTTTGATTTGTCTCTGCATGTATATACTTTTACTCCTATCAAATTTTATTGCTAGAAATAGAAATGGAATCAAATGCACGTATGTGAAAAATATATTTAGTAGTTCCTTTAGTAGTTCACTGCAGACAAATGCTTAGTTACATGACTAATGTGTACACGGGTCAGTTATACTTAAGCCTAATATGTACTGTGAACCTTGCCTTTGCGATTTTTTGATGATTATGGCAGTATGTGCTCCAAAACTAGAAAACTGAACTGAGTAAACTATCAATATATTAACCAAGAGAAATATATCATGGTAGCGCAATTAAGAAATAATTGATTCTTTTTCTCCTTTTTTCAGTCATGGCACTGCCATAAGGGACTCAATCTATTACCACCAAATCAAAAATATCTCTTACTTCTTACTATGCTTTTTGTAAACTTCATGCTCGGCCTGTCCTTAGGCAAAGTGAGACACTAATCTCATACAAGAATTCTGGGATCTTCATAGGAGCCCATTACAAGCTTCAGTGACAAAAAGACTAACAAAATAAATGTCATATAGTAACATCACAAACCCTAGCCTTTCATACAAGCCTTCTGATGTCAAATGCATGTATATCATGGGGTCTATATCATGATACGACAGTGCACTTTCTATCACTTGCTCCCCTATCCCATTCCTGAAAATTCCTGTACTGTAGGTATATTATAAAAAAGCTGTATTGGTAATTAAGTTATTATTTTAAGCAAACATAATTAAGCCTTATGGTTTTAAATCAGTCGAGATGGACAGAAAACTATGGGCTTAATTATGGAAAATGTCAGTCTTATTGATTTCAAGGGGCCTAGTCTAAACAGAAATAATTCAAAGAGGAACTACTCCATTTTTTATTGTCAAAGGGGTGGTAAAAGATTTCTCAGGTGACACAATTGCTTAATTGGCTTTGAAGGATCATTGAATGTACAGTATCTTAAGTGCCATTAGTGTTTTGCCCCATGCACACATTTTCTTAGCAATGCTCTAGTGTAATCTTATTGTTTGTTTCATTTTTCCACACAAATATTTTCAGCTAAATTTCTTATGTTGTGTCATCATCATCATCATCATCATCATCATCATCATCATCATCATCACTCCTATATGCAAAAAGCAGTAAGGGAAGTTCAGAAAAAATATTGAAACAAGTAATTCTCTATTTTGTCGTCATTCTCCAATTTGTGTTTTAAAAAATGAATGGCTTTTAGATAAAAATCTATAAAACATTATCTCATAGAATGATCTCTCTTCTTTGCCCTCATAACATTTTAAAACAGAAAACAGTGATTCCACAGTGATTCTATCAACCCTGATAGAAACAGAAGCAAGAAAGCATATCTTATTTTAATGTTATACTGTACAGTAGAAATATGATTACCAGATCTGGGTTGCAAAATCCAGATAATCACTAGACAGCAGGAAAGCGATGGAGAGAAAAGTTTGTTTTCTCTAGATTTTTGCTGTTGAGATCTGGCAGCCCTTGGATGACTGCCTCTGTCAAAGCGAATACTGTAAATGGAATGTATAGGGTGGGGGTTGGAAGTCTTTCTTTATTGGTTTATTTTTAAACATCTTAAGAGTAGATATTCAGAATAGATTATAAATATAATATATAACTAGTTAGCGAGCTATATAGACACATGGAAAAGAACATGTCAGCCTTTGAGACAGACCTGGTCAAGAAACAGACACAGCAGAGAAGATGATTCATTTGTATGGTTTCATGAGCGTTTTTCATGTTGTAAGGATGTACTCTATGCAAGAATGTAGATATGGTCTTTGAAATGGGGAAGGAATGCATTAATTGGTAAATAGGAAGTTTCGTTAAAAATTATTTGGTTCTGAAAAGGAGGAAAATGTGAGAAAGGGACTCAAAATAGAGCCATCTTACACCCCCTCTATTTGGAAATGTGCTTATCACGTGGTTTCTTACCTTCAGCTTTTTCTTCCTCCTTTTTATGGTTTATCAATAGTTTTTATATTTTGAAACCTACTAGGGCTGGATGGGAAATGCTTTGACAAATGTTTAATATAGATGCTGATTTTTGTACTTCTGCAGATCAATGTCTAAATTGTATTAAAAATACAGAATATATTTAAAATTAAGGACATTAAAACAACATATTTAGAAAATCTGAAGTTGAACTGAAGAGATCATAATGAGGTGAGCAAACCTGTGTCTTGTAGATGTTATGAAACATATCCTTTATCACTGGCCATCCATACTGCCTGTGACTAATGGACATTCTTGTTGAAAACCTATCCTTATTCCAGTTCCAATGGATTCCTCTAAAATTTCTCTTAACTTTGAGATTCCCATCCTTTATCCTGGAGCTTCAACCTGAAATAAGAGAGTTTTTTTTAAATAAAAATAGGCATTCTATAACTCCAAAATTAGTTTCAAGTTATTACAAAGCAGCTGAGTTCTGGTTTAGCATTTAGACTCAAAAAGATGTGTAATCTTAGCCTTTTTAGCCATATAAAAATTATTCAACTATAAAAGGTCCTTGAGCATGTAATATTTACATTTATAAATAAGTCCTGTGGATTTCTCATGAAATTCCTCTGATCATAATGACTTAAGTCCATTTTTATGCACATTTACTCCAATGAAAATCCTACAGTGTTTAATAAGATTAACTCGTGTGTATAGAAGTGCAGTCATGAAAGCTGAAAATTATGTTATGGCAACATGCTACAATAAACAATTGTTCAATAATGTTTTGTTACATTTTAGCATTTCCCCATCCAAATGCCATGCCATTTTCTCCCCAGTTATAAGATAACTTTTTACAATAATTTGTATGTCATGCATAGCACTTACTACATTGCTCCTGTTTTATTTAACAATTGAAGAGAACAAAAACAAGTATGTTAAGCTTTTACCATGCATTAACTTGTTTCATTTAACAGGAATAATTAGCCTGAAGGATCCTGTGCTGTTTAAATGTAGCATAGCTAAATCAATTAGTATAAAATCTAAAGCTATGGGTTTTAAAGAAAACAATCTAGGGTTTTTGCACTAGGAGGCTGTGTAAAGGTTTGCAATAGATGTATGAAGGGAAAGGAAAAGCTTGTTCCCAAATTCTACCCTGATGACCTTTGGACAGAAATTCAAACAGAACCTTATTAGTGAAACTTTATTAACATTCATAAAACATCAGAGTAAGCTGTCATATCTAATCATGCTCTAAAGATTGGGCCTCCTTCAGGTCCCGTCGGCCAGACAATGTTGGCTGGCGGGCCCTCGGGGAAGGGCCTTTTCTGTGGTGGCTCCGACCTGGTGGAATCAACTTCCCCCCGAGATTCGAACTACTCCCACCTTGCCGGCCTTTAAGAAAGCCATTAAAACTCTCCTGTTCCGGCAGGCCTGGGGTTGATGTCCCCGGGGGGGCTGGGATACGATTGGACATGCTGTATGAATGTACTTATTTATTGTTTTATTGTTATATTGTTTTAATTTTGTATGCCGCCCTGAGTCTCTAGGGATTGGGCGGCATACAAATTTTATTAATAAATAAATAATAAAGCCAAAGATACACACATACATGCACATTACTTGTAGTTCTATTTCTGAACTATTTTGTTGATTTTCTTAATTCTAGCACTCCAATGTACTGTTGGAGAACAGTGACTGCCCTTTCAGTATGACTGAAGCATAAGAAGCTAACTGGAATTAAGCAGATGCGGAATGACATGGGGAATTCAGATTATATGTTGATCTCAACTGGAAAAATGAAGAGGGTTTTTTTTTTCATTTGTTAAAAAATGTAGTTCAACCATTGGATATGACTATGATTCTTAAAAATGGCATACAGTTATGAGTTTGTAGAGCAAGTATTCTGAGGCAACCTTCCCCAAACTGTTACTCCTGCTGGGATGTTGGACTTTTACCCCTGTAATTCTTAACTATCAATTGAAGTCCAACATATTTAGCTGGGGGAGTCTAGTTTAATATATGCTCTGTCTGAAAACAAACTCCAAGGGACCACATTTTAACTTTTTTTTTCAAACTGAAAATTGTTTGAGGATGTTTACAGAGAAAAGGAATGTAACATCCCGATAACTATACAATGCATTCTAGGTTAATATGCAACTGCTATAGCTATACAGCTGCCTAGATTTAAAGGGGAAAAGATCACTGGAAGTATCTATGGAGTCAGCAAATCCTTAAATAAACTGTATCTTTTCTATGTTTGATATAGACAACACTAGGAAAAGGCATTTGCCTTAAGGACATGCTGACAGGTATGATGTATGCATCCACACATTCTACACAAAAATAATATTCTTCCAAAACTAATTTCAACCTTCATACTTCACCCATTCAAAAAGTAAACTTTCAACATTATCTGTTTTGTAGGAATTTGTGTCTAGAGGTATTCTCTAAATAATTATAATAATAGCAATGGCAATAGTAGTAGCACTTAGACTTATATACCGCTTTGCAGTGCTTTGCGGTTTACAGAGTCAGCATATTGCCCCCAAACAATCTGAATTCTCATTTTACTGGCCTTGGAAGGATAGAAGGCTGAGTCAACCTTGAGCCCTTCAGGATCAAACTCTAGAAGGTGCACAAAGAACTGGATTGTATTAGCATATTTGTGTTTTCATTTTTTTAAATGTTGTGAACATTAGGACTACATATAGTTCAAGGGAAAGGAATATCAAGAAAGAGCTTAAAATGCTATGAGGTTCAAACAGAATAATCTCCGAGCTGGAGGAGAGAAAAGAATGAAATTGAAGGACTATGCAATCAATATTATCACGTTGCTGTATTAAAAGCTCAATTTAAGAAGTATTTTACTTAATTCAAAAGACTCAGTTGTTACAACACATTATCATGTCACAAATATATCACAAACTACACACGCACACACAAAATGGTTTGGGTTCTTTCATTGATCAACTACAAACTACTATCAAAGATTAACAAAAGCATGGCAAAAAATAGACTCTGCAGGGAATCCCTATACTTTTCATGTTCAAACTGGATTAATAGTTTCTGCAAATGCAAAGTCTTCCTGCTACCTTACAAAGTAGACTTTAAAGATTGCGATGATATGAAGTTTACTTCATAAGTCTAATTAAGAAAACATAGTAGAAAAGTAAGAAACTAGGACAGGCACTGTAGAGTGGGAAGAGAAGGGAAGGAAGTCTTAAGAATGGGAATGACAGCTGTTCCGGCTTGGCATCACAGCGCCGTGGACGTAGGAAGACCGGCTCCATCTTTCTTGTCTAAATTCGCTCGATTAAACTAAAAATGTATGTATATTACTGAACTATTGGTTAACCCAGACAACACCTATAATGGTTTTGACTTATAAGAGAGGATACTGTATTATTAATTAGATGGTTTAACATGGTGGGAAATAGATAATTTTTAGAAAATAGATAAGATGTATAACCTTATTTATGGCTGAACTATTAAAGCATGGGTGTCAAACTCGCCGTGTCACGTGCCGTGTTGTGACGTATCATGACTTTTCGCATTGCCAGAGCTGGGGTGGGTGCAGCCTCCACATGATGCAACCGGCCCACGGGCTGGCAGTTTGATACCCCTGTATTAAGGGAACAATTTCAGAAAATGTTGCTTGATTCCTAGAAAAAGGAAAGTATGAGAAAGAAACTCTGTTAGAGAATTTTAATTTCTCTAATTGGTGAAAAATAAATCAGAAGCTCTCACAGATGACTGCATTAAGCTGATTCAAATAACTTTATATTTATATAAAAATATTTACAATACCATTCTTCTTTACAACAACATAGCTTAATGAAGGCTTCTTACAGAGACAGACCAGAGATGAACCTTGAGACTGGAAATCCAGCTCCTAACTCAATAATCTTTTGCACAGACTCAGTAGCACTTTCTTCCCATTGGCTGACTGAGTTACCACATGACTCTTCCTGTTCATGAATATTCCAACAAACTCAAAATAATCCTGCCTGATTATCAGGTAATGCCTTGAATAACTCCCCCCCCCCCATATACACACAAACCCAGGACTGCATTACAAAAAGAAGCAGTAAGAGGAGATAGCCTTACTATAGAGCCAGTTTGGTATAATGGCTAAGGCACCAGGATAGTAACTGAGAAAGTGTGAGTTCTAATTCTGCCTTAGGCACGAAGCCAACTGGTGACTTTGAGCTACTTACTCTCTTTTAGCCCTAGCCCTAGGCAATGGTAAACCACTTCTGAAAAACCTTGCTAAGAAAGCTGCAGGAATTATTGCACACAGGTGCCAGGAGTCAAAAGCTGACTTGAAGGCTCGTGTGCATGCACGCGCACACACACATTACACAAAGCCTCTGTATAACAATTTTATTTTTTGTGTAATGGCAATGCAACTTTAAACTATATTTAACCTCAAATTAAACAATTTCTGATTGAATACACATGTTTACAGTAAATTGAAATAAAATCATAACAAAGGATTATCAAAAAGCTGAATCAAACATTCATTTGGAATCTGCCTTTCTTCACTTTATTGCCATTAGTTCATTTTCTGTTCTCTGAGAAATAGGCAACAAGATTGGACTTTTTATTTAACATTCCTGTGTTTTTTTTCACTAAAGAAAATGCTTTAAATGTGTCTTAACTGTCTTTCCTCAAGACTAAAAGTGTCTCTAATAAAACTTTTGTTTTTGTTCTCCTGGTCATCCTTGTTTCTTTTCTGTGAACTTGTTCCAGATTGTCTGTTTCTTTCTTTGTAGTGTCCAGAAATGTGGAGGAGTTTCACCAATGCAGAATACTGTATAGCGGAATTATTACTTCCTCTGACCTGGAAACAAAATTTCTATTGATGTAGTTCAAAATTGCTTTTGCCTGTTGGCAGTGTTAGTTTTCTGGCTTATATTCAGCTTGTGGTCAACTACGGTTCCAAAGTTCAGGTTCCATGTATAGTTATCATCCTATATCTGTAAATCTGGTTTCTGTTATCTGTATGTAGAACTTTGAGTTTCATTTATGAAATGTTGCTGCTCTAACTTCTCAAGATCATTTTGAATCTAAATGTCCTGACCTTTTGAAAGACTATAGAGATTGCATAATAAGACAATTGAGTTACATGCTAAAGTATAACCAATTTTCCTATAAGTCTAAATAATGCTAATTCCAATTAATTCATTCAATGTATCATTCATACTTACATCATTACACTTTGTGTTGCTAAACAAAGAGGCTAGACAAATGGAACATATAGATCAATCAGGGCTGTAAATGGCCTTTTTTTTGTCCCTCTAGAACTTCCCTCTTTGGACACACTTAACATATCCCTCTGTAGTTTTTGCATTCACTCTTGCTATCTTTCTCTGGGCATAGAGGAGCTATAATGACATAGGCACTGGCCTATATTTGTTCCAAATGACCTGGTCCAAATATATATTTTAATAAAAAATTTCACTAGTGCTTCCTTCCTTTCTGGCTGCAGAAAGATTCATTTTCTGCAAATAAGCATTAATTAATTCACAAATTATTGAGGTTCGAGTCTTTAAAGGCTTAAAGAAGCCAGGCTAGGGCAGGATCTAATAAATAGGGAGTGGAATGAACCTCTCCAAGGATTTTGCCTCTTTCTTTCAGAAACAAAACCCAAGTGCCTTAAACGGATATTATTAGTTGGATATTTCTAATTTCAAATATAGTATTGAAATTAAAATTTTAAATGGTATCAAACTCAGGACAAGCATGAGCAGTTTTATCTGCAACCATGGTGGAGCTCATATGCTACTACGGCAACAGCTTGGATTTCATCCTCCTAAAGCAGGGGTCCCCAATCCCTGGTCCATGGACCAGTACCGAGCCACGGCATGCCAGCAACTGGTCCAGACAAACAAGAAAAGCCCCATCCGCAGGATGCAGGCCGCACACAAAGTCACGCCCCCTCCAGTCCGCGGAAAAACCTCTCTCCACATAACTGTCCCTTGTGCCCTTAAGGTTGGGGACCTCTGTCCTAAAGAATTCTTGCTGATGCTATAAGAAATGAAAATCATTGTTTCTTCCTTCTCTAATTGACACTGCATAGCTTTTATGATGGAGGCTATAGATAGAGGCTATAAAAAAGCAAAAAAATGATAAGACTCCTGGTCCAGATAGATTACCTGCGGAGTTTTATAAATCATTACAAGCTGTATTAAGTCCGATCTTGAAAGAACTGTGTAATGAAATAATTCTGGAGGCTAAAATACTAAATACATAGACTGAAGCCAACATTACTTTAATACCCAAAGAAGACTCCAATTTAACGCAAATAAAAAACTATAGACCTGTATCATTATTAAATGTAGACTATAAAATTTTTGCCTCAATAATAGCAGAAAGACTAAAGAAATTTTTATCAAATTTATACATTCAGACCAAAATGGTTTTCTACCTGAAAGACAGATAAAAAATAATTTAAGATTGATTCTTGATGTGTTAGAGTACTATGAAATTCATTCAGGGAAACTGATGGCTTTAATATTCCTTGATGCACAGAAAGCGTTTGACAATGTAAACTGGCAATTCATGTTCCAGTAACTTGTGGAAATGGACTTTGGAAAAAACTTTATAAATGTAATTAAAACAATTTATTGTAAACAAACAGCCAACATAATTGTAAATGGAGATCTTACAGAAAACTTTAACATTAAAAAAGGCACAAGAAAGGGATGCCCATTATCTCCATTACTATTTATACTAACACTGGAAATATTGAATAGAAATATTAGACAAGATATAGAAATTAAAGGACTGGAGATAAAAGATGAAAAATATAAACTACAAGTATTTGCAGATGATTTGTTTTTCATATTGGAAGATCCATTGGAAACAAGCACTAAACCTATGGAGAAAATAAAAAAATTTGGAGAAGTGGCAGGGTTGATAATAAACAGAGAAAAGACTAAAGTGCTAACAAAGAACCTAACAGAAAAACAAAAAAATCAACCAACAAAAAAAAAAACAAATCTTCAAATAGTTAAAAAAATTAAATATCTGGGAATTTATCTTACAACAAGATGTGTAACAATAAAAGAAGATAATTATGTAAGATTGCTAAAACAAATAAAATTGGATTTGGAAAAATGGAAAAACTTCCAACTTTCAATGTTGGGGAGAATAGCAACAGTCAAAATGGGTATCTTATCAAAAATACTCTTTTTATTTCAAACGATTCCTGTAAGGATGGAAAAAGCCTTTTTTGATGAACTGAATACAACAGTATTGAAATTTATCTTGCAAGGAAAAGAAGCTAGAATTAGATTGAAAATGCTACAAGAAGTGAAAGAAAGTGGAAGATTTGGACTGCCGGACTTGATGTTATACTACCAAGCAACTATTTTAACATGGCTTAAAGAATGGATAATGCTTAGAGACAAAAGACTATTGTACCTAGAGGGGATGACCTACAAATTGGTTAGCATACCTTTCTGTGGTATGAGAAGACTGAAATACATAGATACTTTCAAAACCATTTTATAAGAAATGCACCTCTTTCAGAATGGGAAAAAATAAAATAAAACATTTATATTAAGATACCTGGATGGCTTTCAACAATGGAAGCTTTGCTTCCCCAAATTTAATTAACTACGATAAAGTTGTGACAATGAAGGAAAATTGAAAGCTTGACAAAATTTACAATAACAAGGTATTGATCTATTGTGTCCTGAGCCTGCAAAGGCAGGCTCGGGACGTTGCAATGGTCCCGGGCAGTTGCAAGCTGCCCGGGACCAGACTGGCTGGCGCCAGAACCCGTGAGCATGCGCGAGGCGCGCCGCGCGCCTAAATGTTGCCGTTTGGCCCGGGGATCGTCTTTAAGAGTGACTGAGAGGCTTGTGTGCCTCGGCGTTGTAATGGGGCTACAGAACAACAATAAAGAGGCTCCTGAAACTATGAGATGCCTCGTGAGTTATTGCCATTAGCTGAGGACTCAACACTGGTGACGAAGGTGGGATGCCTTACAATTAATTGAAGAAATTGTAAGCTTACCCTGGAGTCCTGAAGCAGCAAGGAAACGGCGTTAAACTCAGCAACTGCCTGCCAATACAGCGTCGTTAGAGGTAAGCTGGCTGATAGACCCTTCCTGTACTACTGAAAAAAATGGCAAAGATAGGAAGACTTTCTGAGTTTGATGTTACGCATCCAGAAAGATGGGAGTCTTATGTAGCCAGAGTAGAAAATTATTTCAGAGTAAATCGAGTGAGAGAAGATGGCTTAAAGGCCGCAACCCTGCTGTGTGTTTGTGGTCAAGATGCATTTGAAATTGCTGAAAATTTAGCAGCCCCTCCACCTCTTGAATCTGTTACCTACACAGATTTAAAGAAATTACTAAAAGAACATTTTCAGCCCAAGTTGTCTGTTATTGCATGGAGACATACTTTTGAACAGAGATCAACGGGCTGGTGAATCAGCTAAAGAGTACATTGCTGCATTGAGAAGATCAGCTAAGCCTTGTGAGTTTAAAGATTTAGAAGAAAGGCTGAGAGACAGATTTGTATGTGGGCTGAGAACCAGAAACTTTTTGCTAAAGAAGACTTATCGTTCCAAGATGCCTTGAGAGAGGTTACTGCAGAAGAGGCAGCAGGTGGGGCAATCAAGAATATGAGGCCTATCAGAAGTACTCCAG